CTGATGCTAAACCGTAACAGTAAGAACATCACCTGGTATATTGAAACACTGCCAAAACCGTTGAATAAACGGGACAATATGGCTTGTTAATGCAGACACAACAATCACCTTCCTAGACATAATGCTCAATGTGCGTCTAATGTACAGGCTACATAATTCCAGAGCCAGGTTATCTTTCCTTCAGCTGGGGAACAAACAAACCTTTGTAGAATACTGCCTTCATCTAACATCCCAGCAGCTACTTAAGAGATACCTAAGAGACAGAGACAAACATGTACAATCACTAAGGCATTCTCATGCCAAATACAATTAGACAGTTATTGTCTATTAGACGGAGTCCTGAACCTGCAAATCAGGAGAAGGTAACCACGATCAAAAATGAGATAAACTTAAGGAAAATAGCAGAGCACTTTACAGATTACAAGCTGAACAGGTAAATGAAGCAGATGGCAGTGCGACAATTCATAGTAGTAGTGAACAGAAGTAGCACTGCGGAAGAAAACTACAGGTGTATGCAGAATCAAGAGGATCCTGAGGCTGAGTGATGATCCATCATGGCAATGCTCCTTAGAAGGAAAACATAGAACTAAAGTAGAAAATTTAAGGCTCCAGCGAATTAGTGACACCACCTGAAATAACCAACACGTTTACCAACAAATTACTTGGGTGACTGACTCATCTCATACTGAGGCCACTTTCCCAATGCTCCACCTTGTACAGGTGCTATCTAATGCCTACCAACTAGGCAAAAAACTCTTATGTGGCAAGGTAATTAAGAGGAGAGAGAGGAGTTTGGTGACCCCAGGAAGAAACGATGCTAGGCGCGCGTACCTACACAAAAGCACAATTTACAGTCTACAACTCATTAAATGAATAAAGCTTAGCAACAAGCTAAGCACCTATGCATTGGAGAGTTTAGTCGCTAAGCTCTTTCATGCAGTTAGCATATCATCTAAGCACCTATGCACTGGGAGAGACCTTGTGCGGAAGAAAATGATAAGAATACAAAGTTGTCCGTAGTTTTTTTTTTCCAGAAAAAGTTAGTAAATCATAATGGCATATGTGTACCAAGATTTGTGCTCAAAATAACGCATTGCAAAAATTCTCCAAATAATAATGACATGTTTGTCCTAGCTACTGCCCTAATCATGTTCGGTTCCCGCCTTCCCGGTCTAGCTTTTCCAAAGAGCAGCTTAGGGTGCGAAAATAAACCTACACCACAAATTTTGCTCCACTCTTTCCTTTCAACTCCACATGTTGCAGAAATGGAAATTCTCCGCAAATGACTTATGGTGCCAATGGAAGAAACCTTTAGACACTAGCACAGGTTGTCAGCAGGGGCTGTGTTCCAGCCACGAGTAGCCCTGCCCATTGCTCCTTTCCACTAAATCACCATGCGGTTCCACCGTTGATGAAGTCAGACAGCTCATGTTTTCAGAAGATAGAAACAAAAGATCGACCTAGACTACTAACTGGGGTGAAAATAGGGTGATGCAGCAAAAGTTACGGATGGCTGACTAGCCCAATTTTGGTGATGCAAAAGTTCAAGATACCGATTGGCTTCAAAGCCTAAAACTGAAGCTAGAAGATGGATGGAGATTTACACATTTACCAGCTCATACGTGCATATGTTCCTACTTTGGTGCTCGTGGGCATGTTCAAGTGTGCAACATCTCTTCCGGGTGAATGAGAATATGACCCTACCAATTATTTGGTGATGACCAAAAATTTGGTGATCGTTTGGATGGTTGCCAATATTTTGGCTTGCCAATGACTAATTGGCAACTCTAATTATTTTTCTAGCCAATGCTGGCCAATTCATGGGCAAGCAAAAGCTTCACCAAAATATTAGCTAGCCAAATGTTTGGTATGGGTAGCTTGGGCTCAAGACCAAACACACCCATCGTAGTTCCACCCATGCCCATCTCGCCAGTTTGTGTGAATGCACTTAAATGTTGGTCCAACAAGAATTAGACGCCGATCCTACTGTCCATATTGCTTAACTAACAAATCAAACAACAACCCTTCAGACCCAAACAAGTTGGGGGTAGGCTAGGGCTGAAACCCATAAAATCTCGCAACCAACTCATGGTTCTGGCACATGGATGCTTCCACGCACCCCTGTCCATGGCTAGTTCTATGGTGATATTCCGGTCCTTCAGATCTCTCTTTACAGACTTCTCCAATGTCAAGTTTGGTCTACCCCAAACCTCTATTGACATTATCAAGACGCTTTAGCCGTCCGCTATGCACTAGAGCTTCTGGAGGCCTGCGTTGAATATGCCCAAACTATCTCAGACGATGTTGGCCAAGCTTCTCTTCAATTGAGGCTACCCCAACTCTATCTCGTATATCATCATTCTGGACCCGATCCTTCATTGTGTCACTCAGGGCCATACAACATTGCGGGTCGAATCGCCGTCCTATAGAACCTGCCTGTTAGCTTTCGTGGCACTCTCTTGTCACAAAGAACACAGAAGCTTGGCGCCACTTCATCCATCCGGCTTTGATTCGATGGCCCACATCATCGGTATCACCATCCTTCTGCAGCATTGACCCCAAATATCGAAAAGTGTCCTTCTAAGATACCACCTGCCCATCAAGGCTAACCTCCTCCCTAGTTGTACTGAAACCGCACCTCATGTACTCGGTTTTAGTTCTACTAAGCCTAAAATCTTTCAATTCCAAGGTTTGTCTCCATAGCTCTTTGATGCTTTCTAATAATAACTCCCGTTCGACTATCATCGACTAGCACCACATCATCCACAAAGAGTTAAGGGCTCAAGGAAGGATCACAATGTTGTACTCCCGCCATCTATGCTTAATCTCCTCGTCCTTCACTAGGAGCTGGTCTGCTCCGTCCTTGATGCATTTGACTTGTTCAACATCCCTCGTCTTCCTCTCTCGGATCTTGACCATCTTACAGATGTCCCTTTAGCCTTCCTTCGTGTCTAAACGCTGGTAGAGGTCCTCATAAGTCCGAGCCATTGCTTCACTCACGGCTCGCTTTGCGGCCTTCTATGCCACCTTGTACTACTCTATGTTGTCTGCACTCCAATCTTTCTTCTCCTTAATAGCCTTCCGGACATCATCGTTCCACCACTAGGTATCTTTAGCTTCGCTTCTTCCCCTGGACACTTCGTACACTCCAAACTCCTCTGAAGCCACCATAGAATGCAAGTTGCCATCTTCATCCACATATTGTCTGCATCACCTCCTTCCAAGGGCCCTCCTTAATGACCCTCTCCTTGAAAGCCTGAGTTGTCTCCTCCTTGCGCTTCCACCATTTCGTTCTAGAGACTTAGGCGCGCTTATCCCGCTGGACACGAATCTGAAAGCGAAAGTCAGCCACCACAAGCTTATGTTGAGGGACAACACTCTCTCCAGGTATCACCTTACAATGTAGACAAGCACGCGGTATCTTGGGCCATCCCAACAATCCTAACCTGTAACCCCATTAATTTATGAGTTATGACCTACTACGAATAATATCAGCCAGCCTCTACCCCCTTCTGCACCACTTTCCAACGAATTGGACCCAAGGTTGTCACCAGGAGCCCCCAGCCTTTCCCGCAAGTGCATTTTCCACCACCAGAGTTGTTGCTACCATGGACGTAGCCGTCAACTTGTTTGCTATCATCAGAGGGGTGCTACCCACACATCATAATTCTGTTATGCCCATAGATAGAATCAACTGTAGGGAGCAAACAGGCAGCCCACCAACAAACAGTAGGCGATGGGCAAAGACAAAATTATGAGCATGGCAAGTGGCATTTATGTTTGCAAGTGAGAAATATTGAGCTGTATGGTTATGTTCCAGTACTAGTGTACTACCAGTGCCCAAGCTGCTTTGCAGACAGATTACCATTGATAAGCTAGATTGTTTTTGCCAACTTATCTAGCTTGTACTCAGAAACCCTAATCAAAGACCGGCCAAACATGGCTACTTTTAGGTAAACCAAACAAAAGAAACTACCCAGGAAACCTAAGTTCAATAAATGGACAACATGATAGAAGAAACTAATTACTTCCTTAAAAGTATCTAAACTTTATGTGTCTGTAATTTTCCAAGTCCTGGATCATTTCATCATAGATGAGCTTATTATCCACATTTTGCTTGTATCGAGCCAGAAATCAAACTAATCGTAAGGGCAAGAATCAATGACCTTAAGTACGCAAAGTTAGAAATTGAGGTATGTATCAGGATATTATCTCCTCATGTAGTCACACCTCATAATTTCTTCAAACCCAATTACACTCTCATAACAATGTATTGTTTGTCCTTATAATTGGCGGTATACACTAAAAAGGTTTTCTCCTAATTCTCACATAAGCAAATGTGTAAACCCTATACTCTGTTGGGCAGGTTGTATGTTCCCAAAATGCTAAGGCCTCCTTTGGTTCATAGGGTAGAAAAATCGTAGGAATAGGAAAATCATAGGAGATGAGATGACATGTATCTCAAATCCTATGAGTAGTAATAGGAAAGGAGATGCCCTTTGATTCACATCATAGGATTTTTTCCATTGAGTCTAGGCTAATGTTTATTTTCCTATGAAATGTGGAGGATAGGAAGAATTCCTCCATAGGAATAGGATTCCATTCCTACAAACCAAAGGGCTCTAAAGGAATTTTTTTCTATAGAAATCCTATCCTATGAAATTCGTACAAGATTCCTCTAAACCAAAGGAGGCCTAAGTTGCTGTTTTCAGATCACTGCGCTTTAACATATCATGTGGGATCAGAAAATTTTAAGATTTATCTGGGTGTAGAAAGTCAACGATGCAAAAAATAACATGCACGCGACACCAACCAACACACTAGCAAGAAATACTTACTATTGCTATTTTCTTTTGAACAACAGTATTAGCAACTGCCTAAGAAATATTTACTGAATAAATGAAGGAACAAATAGCTGTCACCATATAATAACACAAATACATCCTGCTAATTTCTAAGCAACCAATACATATTTATAATTACCAAAACCTACCTATGTCTCAAGATGAATTGGCAGCATTTGATCCATCTGTAGAAGAGCTGTCACTGTCCGAGTCTGCCAAGGCGATCATTAATGATTAGGCTATACCACTATACTGCAGCCTAATCATTCGCTCAATACAAATGTAAACAACTAAAGATAAACTAGAAGTCAAATACACAAGGTAAAACCAAAACAGAAGGAAATATTACCACTAGAAGAGGAATCTGAATCACTGCTGGTGCTGCTTGAGCTGCTAGATCTACTGGCACTCGGTCCATTATTATTATTTTGGTCTGGCACAGAAGGTGCTAATTGCTCGCCCACCATCAAATCTGTGCATAAGAAAAGCCGTACTTCTATAATCGCCTTATCATGTGCTTTTACTTTTAGGATGAATGAATCAGGGCGAAAAAGGACTTACTTAGCTTTGGAGATTTTTCACCAATATTAGGTTGTTGACTCTGCAATACAAAGAAACTGTAATTCAGCACCAACTATACGATTTCCTTAGCTACAGAACTATTGCTAGATTAAGAATGATTGACTGTTCATACTGTTTGTTGTGCAGCATGCAGAGCACGCAACTCTACATCTTGCCTTGCAAGCATTGCACGCTCAGCCTTCCTCTTTTGCTTGCTCAGGTTCTTCTTGAAGTTAGCAACAAATCTATCAAGTTCCCAAAGTGTCTCCGCATCCATGCTATCTATCTCAACCTCAATCTCATCTTCATGCTGCCTAACTGAAAGATTCTTGTTCTTAATGATCTGCACAACAATATCAAGCTTTTCAGGAGGCAAGTTCTGAAGGTTATTGCTAAGTTTACGCTTCTCATCTATCGTCATATCTCTTTTATCCAGATCCTTTGCCTTCGGCTTCTTCAATGATGGAGTGCGGACACTAATAGGAGTATGACTTATCGGCCTTGACTTGGAGTCCAGCACCATATGGTGCTTTAAGGAATCTGACCTCTCTAGTAAGCGCAAGTCTATCGGGGGAGGTGGAAACTTCTTCGGCAAAGGTGGGCATGACGCAAGGTAGTCAACCTCAGCCTCAATCTCAGGCCACTGAGCTTCAAAAATTCCTAACAATTGCTCAGCCATGAAATGCACATCCTGCCCTTTGGGATTATACGTCATGGCATTATGGAATGTTAGCCGTACATCATTAGCAAACTCCTTTGGGTCCCTGTAATGCCCACGAGTAAGCTGCCCCTTTATAGTGCCAAGATCCATCGGGTGCTTAATAATGGCAAAATAGTCATGCAACCCAAGTGCAACAGGATCAACAGGCTTGTTAAACACCCACCCAAATTTGTGCTTCATTAGTCGGGACAGCAGGGATGAAGACTTCTTAAATGCATGCGAGTAGAGTCGCTGCTCAGCGTTGTAACCTGCACCATGAGCTGACGAGGAACGGTGTTTCTTCTTGTGGTGCTTGGTTTTCTTCCGGCCATGTGAATCTGATGGCGGTATCCTATCTTTGGCAAGCAAGAACTCTGAATTTTGGTAAAGCTGATTGGCCTTTGGTGTTCGCTTTTCCTTGTCAAGTGATTCTGTGTGAACTTCTGGCACAATTAGCGGGCGGCGTGGTAGGAACGAGCGGACAGGAGGAACAGAAGCAGCAACTGGGGCCTGTACGGGCGTCACAGCATCACTGCCTGAGAATTGGGGTTGCACATACCCAGCAGTGAGCAGAGGCGGTGGCCGAGGTACGGACTGGGATGCCTCAACTGCCAAGGCCTCGCCAGCCGCCTTGAGGCGCTTGGAGAGCACGCGTACCTGGTCGAGTTCTGACGCAAGCTGCCGACGCAGCTCGCTCCGGACCCTGCGCTTCCGAGCCTTGTCATCCGCGGCCGCCCGGATGTCGATGTCGGCATGACCGTTTGGAACGGCGGCGCCATCCCGGGCAAGGCCGGAGGAGAAATCGCCGGAGGCGGCAGCCGGTGCCCCGTGCGGCGACGATGTGGGAGAAAGAGGAGGAGGAGAAGTCGGTGCGGCCGGATCGGAGAGCGGCGGCACCGCATCCTCAGCCTCCGGGCGACGAATCGAGCGACGGAACGAGGCTAGGGTTTGCTCAAGGGGGTCGGAATTAGGAATGGGGCAAGGTTCTGGATGGGGATTGGGGTCGGGGCTAGGTTCTGGAG